ATCAACGTTTTTGGAGTATTTTAGGAGAGACTTTTATGAGGTACTGTCTGAATGCTGTCAAAGTGGGAAACTTCCCATAAGTTGTAGTCGGGCAGTTCTTTCACTACTTCCAAAAAAAGGAGATCTGGGACTTCTAAAAAATTGGAGACCAGTGTCATTATTGTGTGTTGACTACAAAATATTCTCAAAATGTTTGGCTAATAGATTAAAGTGTTATCTGGGTCAATTGGTGCAGAAGGATCAGACATACTGTATTCCTGAGAGATCTATAATGGACAATATATCCTTATTGCGTGATGTTATTGAAATAGGTCAGCTGAATAATTATGAGTTTGGTGTTCTTTCTCTAGATCAAGAGAAAGCATTTGATAGAGTTGACCATGCCTATTTATATAATGTTTTACAGCATTTTGGCTTTGGTGATATTTTTATTTCATATATTCAGTTGTGTTATTCCAATGCTTTTGTTCTTGTGAAGGCTGGTGGTGGTTTAAGTGCGCCAATACCTGTTTCTCGGGGAATTAGGCAAGGCTGTCCACTTTCAGGACAGTTATATAGCCTTGTCATTGAACCTCTTTTGTGTAAGCTAAGGAGAAATCTCAATGGGGTCTTAATTCCAAATGGAGACATAAGTTCTAGGGTGTCTGTATCGGCTTATGCTGATGACGTTACTGTTTTCATTACAGGCCAGGATGATGTTGCAGTTTTAACTAAGAGTATTGAGCAATACGAGAAGGCATCCTCAGCTAGGTTAAACTGGGGGAAAAGTGAGGGTTTTATTATTGGTCAGTGGATGGGTAAAAGACTTCCGCAGCTTCCTGGTGGGTTGAAATGGGGTAGGGAAGGGCTGAAGGTCTTGGGTGTATACTTAGGGAATAGTCAGTTCCAGATGAAGAATTGGGAGGGAATGCTGGAGAAAGTGCTCGCCCGATTGTCTAAATGGAAATGGCTATTACCACAGTTATCATAATAGAGGGCGAGTTTTGGTTATTAATAACCTAACTGCCTCTACACTGTGGCACAGGTTTATTGTCATGGAGCCACCTGATGAACTGATCTGCCGTGTACAAAGAGCTTTGGTGGACTTCTTCTGGAGTGGACAGCACTGGATCCGGGCAGCTGCGCTGTACTTACCTGTCCAGGAAGGTGGCCAGGGGTTGGTGGATGTGAGGAGTCGTATCAGTGCATTCAGGATACAAGCTGCACAGAGACTCCTCTATCATAAGGACTTGACTTGGGCCCAAACTGCTTGTGCTTTGCTACAGAGAGCAGGAGGACTGGGATTGGATAAACATCTATTCCTAATAAAACTGGAGGAAGTGAGCTTGTCTGAGCTTACACCATTTTATAAGTCTATGTTGAAGGTCTGGAGAACTGTTTTTAAAGTAGAACGGGAGATTGATCCTCAAGGACAATGGGTCACTGAAGAACCCTTGCTGTTTAATCCAATGATCCAGACAAGGATGTTATCTTCTGCGAGTATACGAACGAGCTTACTGAGGAACAACGTTGTAAAACTGGGACATCTCTTGGACAGGAATGGATGGAGATCAGCTGAGACCATCAGAGAGGTGACAGGATTACGTTCACTAAGACTTACAGAAAAACTGATGGAGGAAATTTTCAATGCAATACCAAGCAGCTACAGAGAGATCATTGCAAGGAAGGAAACTGATGAAAAAGAATTTCCGAAGATAAAAATAGCTCCCGCAAGTAAGGAGGATCTGGATGGTGAGGAGGCTGGTTCAATCTTGTTTTTTGAATTTCCTCAAATAGAACTGTTCGAGTCTACATCAAAGAAGGCCATTTATTACATCACGGTGAAGGTCCTACATCAGGAATCGCTCAGGAGAGTGAAAGCCTCTGGGTGGCCAGGACTGTTGACAAAAGAGTTCCTCGTAAGGGACAGATGGAGAGCACTGTATAAACCTCCAGTGGAGAAGCGAACTGCTGATCTGCAATGGAGGATTATTCACAGGGCAATAGCTACAGACAGACATGTGGCACACTTGAATCCAGCTGTGGGTGGGTAATGTAGGTTTTGTGGTGAACAGGAAGACTTGGAACATTTGTTTTTAAAATGTGAAAGACTACAGAGTCTTTTTAATCTTCTTAAAGAATGGTTCAGGAAATTTGATCAAGATTTTTCAGATAAAGTGTTTATTGGAGGGTTAAAATATAGTTTTTTGATGAGGAAGAAAGTTTGTTTATTGAATTATATTATTGGGACTGCAAAATTGGCAGTGTGGAAGACCAGGAAGAACAAAGGCTTACAGTTGGCATCTACGGATCCGGAAGTGATGTTTAGGAAATTAGTGGAAGGGAGGCTTAAAGTGGAGTATGCATATTATGATATTGTAAATGATGTTAGGAGTTTTATTGAGATATGGTGTATTAATGATGTTTTATGTACTATTTATGATGATGTGATGGTTCTGAATTTTTGATTATTATTATTTTAATATCTGTGGGTTTTGTACATGTTCTATTTTTAGAATGAGTATATGAATGTATGATTTTTGAAATGTAGAAATTAAAGCATTTTTGAACCTCTCTCTCTCTCTCTCTCTCAAATTCAAATTCAAATGAGCTTTATTGGCATGACTTATACAGTATTGCCAAAGCATTGGCCATTACATACGCAATGAACAAATAATCAGTAAATGAATCAGTAAACAAATGCATGAAATGCATGTATATATCAGAAAACAAACAAACAAAAAAAAACACAGTTTTGGACCAACATTCTGACTTTAGTTTTGTCCACTGGCTGACTCTCTTAGTTTGTGGCAGGCTGTTACATAGTCTGCTGCTGTTGTGATTGAGCTGGAGTTTTCTCCCAAAATATGAATTAATTTTTCTGAATTTGGCAATGCCATAAAATTTGGATCTAGTTGTTGGAATCTAGAGAAATAGTCTGATCTAATGCTGTGATAATGATCACAGTGAATGTGTTCTTCTGTCTCCACCTCTCTCTGAGAGCACAGTGAACACAGTCTCAGCTCTCGCGGCTGCCATCTCTCTCTCTCTCTCTCTCCTCTCTCTCTCTCTCTCAGTCCAAATTACAAATTGCAACAGAAGCAAACTCAACTGATTTTGTATCCTTAATATGTCCTGAGTAAGGAAAAAAAGCCCCGAAGAATCCCATTAGGGGAAAGTTTCGAAAAAGACCCAAATTTATCCCATTCATTCACATATTTATTCTTTTTCTCACGTGAATAGGGTAAAAAATTTAACCTTTAGATATCATCATGAAAATCACTGAGTTGATTACTTACATCAAGACCAACAAAAGAATGTATTACAAGTTTTTTGCAATTGTTTGTTAACATGGACAAATTGTGCATAATCTAATTACAGATGTGCTAATTTGCATAATTACCCAAACAGATCTAAACATTGGGTATAGCAGATGAAAATGTTTTTTTGAATCTTGTTGACATATAACAGTAAAAGACTCGATGTTAAGGTCTGAATGGAGCCCAGGCTACCCATGAACATTAGTGTAGGAAGAAGTACTTTAGAAACCAGCCTTTATTAAATATTATTGCAGAGATGGGGTTTGGGCATTGAGTGCATTGTGTACGTAATTTGATTTTTTTGATCCAGACACTTTTTATTTCATCTACCTTTTGTCTTCTGCATTCTCCTTACCCATGTCTCCTGTTCTTCCCTCAGACTCTTCCCCCAGAAACAGTCCCACTGACCCAGCCCCAAACCCCATCTCTCCCATAATTATTAATAAAGGCTGGTTTCTAAAGTACTTATTCCTGTGTTAATGTTCATGGGTCGCCTAAATGGGTTCCATTCAGACCTTAATATTAAATAGTTTACTGTTATATGTCAACAAAATTCTACAAGTCATTTTCACCTGCTATACCCAATGTTTAGATCTGTTAATTATGGGTACTTATGCAAATTAGCAAATATGTAATTAGATTATGCACCATTTGTCCATGTTAACAAACAATTGCAAAAAAATTGTAATTCATTGTTTGTTTGTCTTGATGTAAGTAATCAACTCAGTGATTTTCATGATGATATCTAAAGGTTAAAATTTGTACCCTTTTCACGTGAGAAAAAGAATGAATAAGCGAATGAATGTGATATATTTGTATCTTTTTCAAAACTTTCTCCTAATGGGATTCTTCTGGGCTTTTTTTTCTTACTCAGGACATACTGAGCATACAAAAGCGCAGTTGAATTTGCTTCTGTTGCAATTTGTTCAAGGTTGACCCCCATTTTGGCTTAAAATGACTGGACTATCTCTCTCTCTCTCTCTCTCTCTCTCTCTCTCCAATGGCGATGTCAGAGCCTTTATTGATGAGATTGTTGATGTCCAGTCCTATCCTGGACCCACAAGCTCTATATTAGATGCTGGGGGTATAGTGGTCATCACCAACATTCTCCAGATCCTTGGGTCTGATCTTACGCTTCCTCAAGGCGTTGCTGCTGTTTTCAATTTTGTTGTGGAGAAGCTTGGTGACACAAAGTAGGAAAATGTTGGAGAGCACCATTTCAAAAGATGTAAACAACACTGGCCCAGAAGCACTTCCTGTTTCAGTTTGTAACCGTTTTCTTTATTTCACATGTAAAGAAAACATCTTAAAGATGTTTGTTTAAATTTTTGATTCAGTTTTAAATGTTCTGTTGGTTGTATTTTATCCCAGCTTTTATGTAGTGTTAAAAAACTGAAACAGGAAGTGCTTCTGGACCAGTGTTGTTTACATCTTGTGAAATGGTCTATAGGACACACCCCTGTTTCACCCTGTGCATACAAGGAAGGGCTGGGATTCTTATCCGCCTATATGGTCACCTGAGCATCATCCCATCATGGAACTGGCAGAGGATATTAACACATTAAATGGGATAGCCAAACCTGAGGAGGACATCCATAAGAGCTTTCTTTGCACACTAGATAATCCTATGGAGAGATTGACAAAGGCACACACACACACACACACTTTTGCATTAACATTGAGATATCCTGTTAAACAATTCCCATTTAAGGAAATTCTGAGAAAGCACAGAGGATTAACAATAAAGGTCATTAACATCGGTTATACACAATAATAGTTTTTTTTAATTAACTTTTGATTAAGTTTTTGACTATCATTATTTTTTCCAACAGATGGAAACAAAAAAATATTCAGTGGTGGAATTCACAGAGGACAGTGCAGTCGAAGTAGTCCCAACATCATGGTTGGAGGTGACCAAAGAGGTCTGTTTTTGTTTTCAATACATTTTCACATTCGTTTACATTACATTATAACAGTTTTTCAGAATTAATAAAAAACTATTCCCCATTATCTGAATCAATTTCTTAACAGCCTAAACCAATTAGTCAAATAAGTCAGTCTTTCTGTAAAACATTATAAAACATTAAACAAGTTCAAGTTCATTTGAAAATCTGTTATTATAAAATTTTGATGGTTTTTAGAAATGTGTTTTAGTAAAACTGTAAAGTCCGCTATTTTTTCCCCCAGGGAACGTTCTGTTATTGGACTTATGGAAATGCAAGGCAGCTTGTAAAAAATTGCGCAATGCCAGACAAAGCAAAGTGGAGCAAGTGTTTGGTAAAAAAAATTTGGCTAAGAACAGGTAATATAGTAATTTTTACATTATATAAATTAATCTACAGTATTTAAAGGGTTAGTTCACCCAAAAATGAAAATTAAGTCATTAATTACTCACCCCCATGCTGTACCAACCCCGTAAGACCTTCGTTCGTCTTCGGAACACAAATGAAGATATTTTTGATTAAATTTGAGAGCTGTATAACTACCACATTGGCTCCTAAGGGACTGCCTCTTGACGGCCCAAAAAGTCAATGAAGAAAATGTTTAAATATCCCAAGTGACTACCGTGGCTCAACTATATGTTTATCAAGCGACGTGAATACTTTTTGTGCGAAAAAACAAACAAAAATAACGAGTTTATTCGACTATTTCTTTTCTTCCTTGTAGGCCAGAACGAGACTTCCTTAGATTTCCACGACGCATGCGCGAGATTTGCGATCTGCTTACACCAGCTTAGATCGCAATTCTCGCGCATGCGTCGTGGAAATCTATAAGGAAGTCTCGTTCTGGCCTACAAGGAAGAAAAGAAATAGTCGAATAAACTCGTTATTTTTGTTTGTTTTTTCGCACAAAAAGTATTCACGTCGCTTGATAAACATATAGTTGAGCCACGGTAGTCACTTGGGATATTTAAACATTTTCTTCATTGACTTTTTGGGCCGTCAAGAGGCAGTCCCTTAGGAGCCAATGTGGTAGTTATACAGCTCTCAAATTTAATCAAAAATATCTTCATTTGTGTTCCGAAGACGAACGAAGGTCTTACGGGGTTGGTACAGCATGGGGGTGAGTAATTAATGACTTAATTTTCATTTTTGGGTGAACTAACCCTTTAAGTGAGAGTAGTTAAAACATTATCCAAATAAGAAGAAAGTTGCAACAAACAAAACAACACTTACAACAACAACATAATTTCCAGACTCATACACCAAAGGTGTCCAGAAATGCCGGCGTGTAGTAGAGACCTCAAACATTGAAACGGAGGACAGCTCCACAACAAACAAAAAGAGGGCACACAAAAAACCACAGAGATTTCTGCCTGAAACAGATTCCTCCTCAGATGGTAAGTATTCAAAACACATTAAATAATATTTTTTGTATTTTTTGCTGAAAAAAAAACAAACAAACAACATTTAAATTTAAGGGCACCACCGTTTAAGGGCACCACAATGAAAATAACCTTAAATAAAACCTTTAACTGTGAAGTGTTTGGTTACAAAACTGAAACTGTGCACTTCACACAGAGCGGACAATTTAAGTGAGTGAAATGAGTGAACAATGTGTCATATTTGTTTTTATTGATCAATTTCTATTCTATTTGTAAACTCTGTTTTTAATTTTAAAGCATATTTCTATTTTAGATGATGTCAGAGTTTTCCCTAAGGATAATCTATCAAAACCACTTCCACCCAAATGTAAGTTGTTGACATGCAACACGATTAACAAATGATTAAATCAACAAATGGAATGTCCAATCCATTTTAATTGTATTTACAGATAAGCCATTCTCCAATATTCATCCTCTTGACAAGGGTTCGTAAAATATAAAAATGTATTTTTAAGTATAAAGACATTTGAAAAAAAATATATATAAATATCTTTGCCCTCTCACAGGCAACAGAGAAATTTGAAATTTGAGGTTGTCTCTCTGTTTCTTTTTCTGTTTAATTCTATCTGCAACTCTACTAGGAATGTTAAGTCTATTTGGATTTTGTTTTTTGCAGCAAAAACATCACTGCCAGAGTTTGGAGAATCAAGCACGTCACAAACACTTCAAGGTATAAATGTTATCATATTAACCATTCTATTTAGAGTAATTTATTATTAAACTTTGAAAAGTATATTTTGATGTCATCCCACAGCTGCCTCACAGCTTCTCTTAGAAGAGCCCCAGTGTTCTTCTGAAGCAGCAACAAAGAGTGAGTCATGTTTTCATCTTCACACTAAAACAATACTGTATTTTCAAGGACCGATCTGCAATATTGCTTCACAGACTACCGCACAAAAGTCTTGCAAAAACTGCAAGAGATTACAGAGAACCAGCAAGACATACTGGCCATGCAAAGAAGTTTGCTGGCTGCTGTGTCTGTGACAATGACTGAGGAAGGGGAGGATGTCCTGGAAAATGGACCATGCCAGACTGTAGAAGAACTACAAAGTCTTTCCACAGAACTGGGCACCAAAGAAAAAAGGACCAAGCTGGTAATACACACCACACACATACCCAACACCACACACCCCAGGCAGGCACCCTACACACACGCACACCCAACATCACACACCCCACATGTACGCACGCCACACACCCCACATATTTGCAGTTTTTCTCGATTGTTTACACACAAATTCTGGTACTTGAGACACAATGACCACAACATGTAACTCATTCACCAACCCCCTGAACCAATTCTACTGAACTACAAGCACAATTCCTGCTTTACAATCAAATTGCAGTTCTAAAAAACACTTTTTTCAAAGCACTACACTCAAATTCTCTGCATTTGGCACAATTTTCATGCAGAAAATCTCTTGTTTTTATGAGAAACACTGCCATTCAAATATTCACACTGACTCGTCACATGGGCAAACACCCGTCACACAATTAGCAATCAGAGCTTTAGCATAAAATACCAAAACCGAAGAGATGATGCAGCGTAGATATATATATTTTTTTTTTACTGTAACAGCATAAACATTTTTTTCTGTTGTTTTGTATGTAGACTACTGTATGTGCAACTTTGTTTTGGTTGGGGTGTTTGAAATCTGCGATCTATCTCCCATTGATTTTGTGGGAAAATACTTTAAAATATATTTGTTACCGTGTATTTGTGTGTTCTGGGTATACACACAGTATTCTCAAATATTTTACAACACACTTATGTATAATGTCTGTGGTAAAGCAATACTGAACAACAAGGCCTAAGTCATTATGATGAATGTATAAGAAGTGTTTTCCATTGACCATAGTGTTTTACATTAAGCACATCAGTGTTCAACTGGTTCTTATGAATGTCTATTCATATGATGGTTTGTGTCTCTCATTTGAAAACTGCGCGTTATGCAGTTTACAGTCACTATTCAATAATGCTATTAGAACAAAGCACTTACTGTAAGAATAAATGACTTACTACATCAGCTGAATCAGTGTGCTCCTCGAAATGAAACAGGTAACTTGAGGTAGTTCCAGGAAGTATTCCTCACTGGCTGCGCTGCAAGACGAAAGGTTAGGACGAGGGAAGATTTGTAATAAACTCAGCCCAGCTGATGTGGGCATTATATGGCTTGCCTCAACATTAGCGTTTGAATAGCGCGCGCTCTCAGTGGGCACAAGCCTTGTTTATACTCGACGCGTCCTCAAGAGCGCGAGTCTCCGCTGCACGCGCCTGCGCGCGCACCTCTCCAAACGGACGAGGCACTTGTGACGCGCTCGCCGTTGTGCTATTCTGTGAAACGACAGGGGGCGAACTCGGAGTAATTCTCCTCTAAATCAACAGGAATCAGCAGTGAAGAAGTAGTTTGCCGTTTATTAGTAGTTTATTAATTGCTAATTCATAAAAGAGTAAACGCAGGTTTATTGTAGCCTACTTTCACTGCATGTAAACTAGTTAAACAACTGAAGCCTTATTGGAGAGTGTTTAAACCTTAATTTTACCAGCAGAGCTTAATTCTGCTATTGTAGGCTTATTTTGTAGATGTAACCAATTACTTTAGACAAGTGCTTAATGCAAATGTGTTCCTGTTTACAAAATGAGATGTTATGGTCGCCCATCAATGCAAATGTCTCTGTGTATAGAAGGATCATAAACATGCTGGTACAGATCGTACCAGTTCGTCCAGATTCGGCTCGTAGTCGTCCATCTTCGGATGCGGCGCCGCGCGCAAAGTTACAAAAAGTGCCGTGCACAGCACCCGCCAGGCGCAATGGGGTCTTGCGGATCCAACGCGCACGACCGCCCACACCAATTGCGTTTTTTATATAAATTATTTCATTTAAAAGAAGAGAATTTCAGCTTCATAAAGAGAAATCGTTTGTGTCTCTGTGACAAGTATTAAGGCTACTGAGTTCATTTTTCTGAAAGCGCACTCTGTTTATTTTATTTATTTTACAAAAACACAAGGTTGATGTTAATAAGAGTGTACACAAAAAAAGGAAGACACTGTATAGTTTATAATACTGTATTGATTTTATTTATATGACCATTAATGACGGAGTAGCTATTTTAAGTCTATGTTGCAGCTATGTGAAGAAAAAAAAAATAGCAAAACGCGGCGGCTCGTGAGCCGACCTCGGGGTTAATACATCGACATTGGCCTCAACATTACAATTCTAACAAAATGGCATTATTCTAAATAACAGTGTTTAATTACGACTCTTTGTGATTGTTTTTAACAGATGAACTACCTCCGATCCCTGGGAGGAACAAACCCAGGGGCAGCCGTGCGCAAAATGTTGCGCAAGGTTGCATCAAACGAAGTATTGAGTGTCTTCAGTTTGAAGGGAAAAAAAGGCAAACTAGCCTTTAAAGACTTGACCATCTGTGATTTAATTATAGGCAAGTTGTTTTTTTTCCCCCAAATGGTTATCAATCAATGTAGAGTTGGTAAAAGCAGCAGTTTTGTATTTTGCACTTTGGAAAAAATACGTATAGTTCTGGTCACAAAATACGGTATTTAAAATAATTCCATACCTCAAATCTAACAATTTTTTTTTTTTTTGCATAATCAATTTGTATATTCTAGGAGCAACGCAAAATATGTTCAAGACGTTAAAGGCAACTGACGTGGAAGACCTTATTTCAATGGTTTTAAAATTTGCCCCACACAGGCACTTAAAATGGTAAGTTAATGATTGTCAAAAAAATTGTTTTGAGATGATCAATAGTCGGCCTAAGTCAATACAACGTCATCTAGTGATGAGATAAAGTTAAAGAGTTGGTTGTTGGCGAAACCACCATTGCCAATTACAGGCTTTTTACTCTCTCTTTGTGACTTTGTGACATTTCTTTTGACATTTCTTTGTGACATTTAATTTAGGTCTATATTTGTACAACTAAAATTTTAACTTTGTAAGTATCAGTACTACCTGACTTAATTAATTTTATTAAGTGCTTATACCAGCCCACAAGGCACAAAACTGCAATTGACGAAATATAGCGTATTACACGTTTATATAATTTATATCTGACTCGTGTACATTTTGTTTCTTTGTTTTTGCTTTTCAGATGATGAAGAGAAGATCTTTTTTTTTTACATTTCATTATATGTGTGCTAAACTAAAATGTGTATATAGTTTCTCATTAATAGTCATATTCAATAGAGATATTCACATTTATTTACATTTATAAACTTGTTATTATAATCTCCAATCTTAGAATTTTTTATGTTTTCATGTTCATTATTTTTTTCATTATTTTTTAATTTAATTTTGTAATACATGTTGTTTATAAAAATATATGTTCATGGCTTTTATATGTATATACATTTTTTTTCAATTTATTGTAATGATTTTATACTCATAATCCATTGTTTTAATTGTTTTAATTTTTTAAATAATATTACTATTCAGGTCAATGTGAAGAATAAACAATGTCAATAGTTTCTCATGATATATATAATTAGTATATGATTATGTATGTCCTATTTACAATACAAATGCAATGCAAATGCAAAACAATGCAATTTTGTAAAATTTTGTAAAATATGTTGTTTAAAATATATATGTTGTTTACAAATATGTTGTTTAAAATATATGTGCATGGCTTTTCGTAGCATTAAACTTTTGTACATACATTAAATTTATTGTATTAATATTATATGCATACGATTCTTATGTTTTGGAAAAAATAAACAACAAGACATTTTTTGTAGACTTATTTGTGTACAGGCATATCAGGATGTAGAGGTTAGGTTAGGAGAACGTTCCGGGAACCTTTAGGGAACGTTCCGGGAACCTTTAGGGAACGTTCCCGGAACCTTTAGGGAACATTCCGGGAACGTTCTGGGAACGTTCCGGAAAAGTTCTGGGAACGTTCCCCTAACCTAAAGGGAACGTTCTATTAACGTAAAGAAACCAATAGGGAACGTTAGAAATGTTTGTTCTGGGAACGTTCTGAGAACGTTCTGGGAACCTGAAAGTAACGTTCTGGGAACGTTCTGGGAACCAAAAATTGTTAACTGGGTTTCACTGCAGCAGCTCACACTGCAACCTCCGCTATTTTTCAGATGTGCTCATATCAAACTACTGTATCGATATAAACGGTATTGCCTCATTCCATATCGTTTCAAAAAATATAACGATACATCGTACATATTCGATATATCGCCCAGCCCTAATTTAAATTAAATATATCGTTGTGTAAAAAGTGGCCGTGGGCTGAGCACACTGCTAAAAAGTCATTTCGTCTAATAAGACAATATTTCTGCGATACATATCTTCATTTGGTAGTTTATCAAAGTTCAAATAATACGTTATAAGAAGAAGCACAATTTAAGTCATTCACTAATGTCGCTGTCTGTGCGGTCGCGCTGGTGTGAGCGGGAGAGATGGCAGGTTTAGCACGAGAACACGAGGAGCTTGAGGCTGGAGCCGCGAATTTTACGGACAAAAAACATTAAAAGCAACGTTGTTGGTTATTTTATAACCTTAGGAGGACGTACTGACGACGTTGTGGTTTGGTCATATGATGGTAATGAAATTACGGCCATGCGACGTTGTAGTTACGTTGCCAGTAAGACATAAAATTACCAAGTAATTACGATTAGACTACGTATCTGCGACGTTGTTGGTCATCTTATAACCTTAGGAGGACGTACTGACGACGTTGTGGGTTGGTAATATGATGGTTATGAAATTACGAGCATACGACGTTGTAGTTAGGTTGTCAATTGGTAAGTCATAAAGTGACCAAAAAGTACGAATATATTACGTAACTGTTACGTCGTGTGTTAGCTGGGAATGATTTAAATTACAATGCAGTTGCATTGTATACAGCATAGACGTGTATATAAAGTAGGCCTAAGCAATTTAATTATTCACATGCGTGTTTTTATTATAATTTTTTTTGTATTTATATATAATATTAATATATTAAACTGTTCTGTAAAGATTGACTTGACATGATATTTTGTAGTGATTCGGAGTCGTCGGATCAGAGGACCAAATCCTCTAAAAGATGCAGAAAGTAGGATAAAAATTGGAAAAGACAAAGATATAATAACTGGGAGATATATAAATTCTGTCAAAGGTAAGTTCCTTTTTGTCCCATAAACCTTAGCCTACCTCTTAATTAGTTAGGCCTAGTTAACTTCTATACTATACTAGATACACAATGTTCAACCAGAAATACACTCTGTGTACAGTGTAACATGCATGCCTTGGAAAATCTAGTAATGGAGTATAATACATTTCAAAATAGACCAAAGTGTTAGAACTAACCACAAAGAAGATGGAACCTTGGGGTGTACTCACACTAGATTATCTGAGCTGTGCCCTAACATGTTTGACCCCAAAGCCTGGTTTGTTTGACTAGGGGGTAGGGACGTCAATTTTCACAAATTCCCACTATCGATCGTTGTTGAAATTAATCAATCAATCGTGATCAATTAATCGATTAATCATTAGCATTAATGGCAAAGAGCATTACAGGGTCTGCAAATGCTGCTCAAAAAGCCATGTTCCTCACCAAATTAATAAGAATGTTTTTTAATCTAAATAAAGGGTTAGTAGGATTGTAAAATGTTTTGATCTGATTGATAGCCTAAATTAATTATTTAATATATAAATATAACAATAAATACAGTGTCACCAACGCCGCCTCAGAAGCTTGCTTGTCAGAATGTGTTACTGTTGTGAACGTGATGGAACAACGCACTGAAAACGGCAACTAAACCCAATCAATTCACAACCATTTAATAAAATAGTGTTCTCATGTTATGTAATATGACAGTCCCAAATTAACCATCGTTATTATGAGTCGTACATTCTGCTTGAGTGGCGCGTGCTGAATGAATAACCATTGAGCACTTTGTTAGAGTTTATTTAACTCAAAGAAACAAAAATAAACATAATATTATGAAATTATATCTACACAAAATGATGTTAATGAACAATTGAACTTGAACTAATATGTGCCATTCAGAATGACTAATTGTGGATGCACTTTTGATGATGTGAATGAACAAGTTACTTAAAGTAAGTTACGTGCCTTTCAGAATGACTCATGTTGTGGTGGACGCGCTCTTCCTGGAACAACTCGACATGGCATCTATAAGCGGGCCGATTAATGAGCATCTGTGACATGGCCGATTTTGTCAAATTTCGTTCGACCTCCACTCCTCTGGATGGCAGACGTGTCATACATGACTCAAAAACATCATATTTCTATACAAAATGTTCGAGTTAGAGCGCATTGAATCAGTGCGATAAAAAGCGGAGGTAGTGTGAGAGTGATCCATTTTATCAGAGCCTCTCCGCAATCAGGGTGAAAGTTATTTCAGATACTAACTCTATCTTGAGGCCACGAGTTAGTATCTTGAGGCCACGAGTTACTATCTTGAGGCCACGAGTTACTATCTTGAGGCCACAAGATAGTTATAATTAATTTTTTTTACCAAAGTGGGACTAGAGGAGCTCCGTAGGATGCCGTTAGTCTCGAGCCTTTTTGCCAGCCTTTCCAAAATTGCCTACACTACCTTTCCTTACCGTATTTTCCACAATATAGGGGGCACCGGATTATAAGGCACGTGACTTAAACACTTAAAACCTGATTTATACAAGGTTGAACTGGCCGTGTCACAGAGCGGGCATAAGATGGACACGAGCGTGAGTTTGCGGGCGAACCAATTGATCCAATTAACAAATTGATCCATATATAAGGCGCTCCGTATTATAAGGCACACTGTCGTTTTTTGAGAAAATGAAATGCTTTTAAGTGCGGAAAATACGGTAGTTTAAATTGTTTAACAGTTTCTTCTTGATTTTTGTTTCATTTAGGTCGGGGTGTGTTTGCCACAACATTTATATTAAGAGGTTCCTTTATTGTTCATTATAAAGGAACATTATTGGACAAACATAAGTTAAAAACAAATGAATATACATACCACTTCAAACACCGAGGGCTGGACTACTGGTAAGTAGACTGTGTTTTTCTGTATGTAAAACCCTGGCATCCTTTGAAATGTGTTTCTCAACTAGGGATCGACCGATATGGATTTTTTAGTGCCGATACCGATTTTTTTCCCATCAGCCTTAGCCGATGACCGATACAGGCTGCCGATTTTCTTGAGTCGATATTTGGAGCCGATACATTTTGCTCCCTCAATTTACATCATAAAAATGACATGATGTTAACTAGGGGTGGCACGGTTTTTTTTCTTTTAATCTTAACACTCCAGAAATGTACTTCAGCATGTGATATATAGCTTAATTATCCACACTTTAGGATACAGTATTAAAAATATATATATTATATTCATGCAATCATGGACAAACTGAATTTGACTCTTTGACTTTAAGCACATTTTGGGACTATCTCAGAGGAAAGCTAGGTGAGATTTAGATACAGCAAGAGAGAAGACATTGACATGCTTTTTGTTTATTTGGCAAAAAAAGGAGAATGTGTATCACTATCTCTACAAGAACTTGTGCATTTTTATCACATAAATCTTATCTACACAAAGAAATTAACTTTCATGTATCAACTGCTAACTTTTGTAGCTCTTACCAAAATTCTATCTTTTAAAAGAAAAAGAGAGGAACTCTTAAAACACTGTCTTTTAAATGTCAATATACATGAAACCTCATTGCCTATAGATAATTAAGCTATAGCAATA